CTGACAAGGAAAAAAAATCAAGGAGATAATCTGCAAGGAATCCATGACAGAAGTTGAGTTCAGTTAACTTTCCTGCCTCTTTCTACATAAATAACTGTGTCGCAATTAGTCCAGGGACCACTTTGATGTGGTATCTCTCATACCACATCACAAAATAAATTATATTCTCTATTCAACTTTTTAATGCTTGCAGAAGGGAATAAATATTCTATATACATGCCATCAAGAACAACTAATCTACTTGAAGGTACTCAGTTCCCGACTTGGCATAATCATTGAAAAGATTTGGTAGCAACCGGTAACATAAAAGACCCCCTCTACCTAAGACCCTGGAGAGAAGCTCCTAGCTGACATACATATGATAAAAGACTAGGCAATCACTCTGACATTGTATTTTTCAGACCTTAAAGTTATCAAATTCTCTTACCTCCCACAGAGATGACTGCATTGAAGCACTGGCCACGAAAAGGAAGATTAAGGTTATCACAGACCATCACTTCACAACCTTTAGTCTTTGCAATCTCAACCAAAGGGCCACAATAATCGCATCCAAGGTTATATACTTGGCTGTTGACACCAAGATATTTTCCAGTCCCACAACCTTAAAAAAATAAAATGCAGATACATCAAACTTTGTTTTACTGCTAGGCAAATAAAACATCACAAAAATATATACGTTTTCTCTGTTCAAACATACTGAACACAAAAGCAGAGTAAAATTATGTTTGATTGTGTTCCTGGAGTAAAGATGTTGCCATTGCAACAAAAATACTTTTCTATAAAAAACACAATAAAAATTATTTCAAAATAATAATATAAAATAAACACAATTGGCTCTGTACACAGGCCTTTGAAGCATTTAATGCCCATCTCCAAAAACAGATGGACTCAGTTCCTTGCCTGCTGTGATTCAGTAAGTATTGCTCATTCTGGCATGACCATGAGCTTGGCCAACATTTTAGACAGCTATTAAACAGCCTTAGCATTGTGGGTTGGTATGATCAGTCCCTTGCCAATGGCCCACAGTTTGGCAGAGGGACCATCCTGATCCAAATGCCGGATCGCGCTTAGCATTGTAGGTTGGTATGATCAGTCCCTTGCCAATGGCCCACAGTTTGGCAGAGGGACCATCCTGATCCAAATGCCGGATCGCTTTTTCAATCCCAGTAGGAGTTGTGTCGGGCAACAGTAAAAGGGAAGTATAAGGGATGTGCTGTTCCACTGTTTATTGTAATAATAATAATAATAATAATAATAATAATAATAATAATAATAAATTATTATTATTATATATTTATATGACATGTAACATTACTAATAATATTACAATATAATGATATAGTACAATATAGTAGGATTTAGTACTGATATTATACTATGCTAATAATATAATAAAGGTAAAAGTTTTCCCCTGACATTAAGTCCAGTCGTGTCCAACTCTGGGGTGTGGTGCTCATCTCCATTTCTAAGCCGAAGAGTCAGCGTTGTCCATAAAAACCTCCAAGGTCATGTGGCCAGCATGACTGCATGGAGCGCTGTTTAATATACAATATAATATATTGTGTGTATATGTGTGTGTGTGAGAGAGAGAGAGCATATATATGTGTGTGTTTGTGTGTGCGTGTATATGGATGTGTGTGTGTGTATGTATGCATGTGTATGTGTGTATATATAGAGAGGGGAGAGAGGGAGAGAGAGAGAGCGCTGTTCTGAGTCCCCTTCGGGGTGAGAAAGGCAACATATAAATGTCGTAAATAAATAAATAAATAAATAAATAAATAAGCACACACTTGCTAAGAAACCAGAGATCACCTTAGATTTTATATTTTAAGACCTAGAACACAAAAGCATTGCAACTATTCTGCCTTGGTTGGACCACAAATGGAATATTGTGTCCAATTCTGGGCACCACAATTGAAGGGAGATGTTTGAATGCGATTTTCCTGCTTCTTGGCAAGGGGTTGGACTGGATGGCCGACAAGGTTTCCTCCCACTTTATGAGTCTATGATTCTATTTTAGAAGTCACTGAGTTAGAGGACTATTTCCTGTTATGAAGAGCACTTGGATCAGATTGGCTGGGCTTCCTAGAACACAAGGTAGTAGGTGACACTCACCTCACTTTTTGGCATCTGTAAAATTGAAAAATGCCAGTTTGCCCAGACCTTCCTCCCACCAGTATTTGGAGAATTGAGTGCCTTGATACATATGAAAACGTGTACGAAATTCATGATTTAATGGAGATAAATGTGCAACCTAGTGGACACAAAAACCTATTCTGTGTTATTCAGGGCTCTCAGAGATAAGGATTCATATAATCACAGAGTTGGATGAGGCCAAAAGCGACATCCAGTTCCATCATCCTATTGTGCTAAGTAACAACCACAACAACTTACCTATATCTGCAATGAGGCTTCCAGGCTTTTGTTCTAGCAGAAACTGTCGAACACGAGGCCATGCTTTGCCCTGAAGATCATTGAAATAGGTGGCCGTGTTTTCATAGACACTATGTACATGTTGCTTTTCTAGCTGGGAAGCCTCATGTTCCATCCTGCAAGAAATAATGACCACATGCACATCAAACAATGTGAATAGTGTGTGCTCAAGTTAAATTCAAGAAACACAGTAAGGGATAGGTCCTCCCCACATATCTCAGTAGTCCATATTCTGATGAGAAGCAACAACTCCCCACATATCTCAGTAGTCCATATTTTGATGAGAAGCAACAACTCCCCACATATATCAGTAGTCCATATTCTGATGAGAAGCAACAACTCCCCACATATCCCATTAGTCCATATTCTGGTGAGAAGTTACAACTCCCCATATATCCCAGTAGTCCATATTCTGACGAGAAGTTATAACTCCCCACATATCCCAGTAGTCCATATTCTGACAAAAAGTTACAATTCCCCACATATCTCAGTAGTCCATATTCTGACGAGAAGTTACAGCTCCCCACATATCCCAGTAGCCATATTCTGATGAGAAGTTACAACTCCCCACATATCCCAGTAGTCCATATTCTGACGAGAAGTTACAACTCCCCACATATCCCATTAGTCCATATTCTGATGAGAAGTTACAACTCCCCACATATCCCAGTAGTCCATATTCTGATGAGAAGTTACAACTCTCCACATATCCCAGTAGTCCATAATCTGACGAGAAGTTACAACTCCCTACATATCCCAGGAGTCCATATTCTGTCAAGAAGTTACAACTCCCCACATATACCAGTAGTCCATATTCTGATGAGAAGTTACAACTTTTCAAAGCTTTTTTTGTCACCAAACAAGCCAATTGTTTGGTATGCACTTTCACAGCACTTCTCCCTGCTCTTCTCAGCTAGTTTCCTCCTTTCTTTTGCTGCAAATCAGCAAAAGAATTTTGTATATGTGGAAACTGCTCTGAGTCCCCTAGGGGAGATAGGGTGGTATATAAATAACGTTTATTATTATTATTATTATTATTATTATTATTATTATTATTATTATTTGAATCACAACAAGATGAGTCAACAGCAGACACTCTACTGGCTGTTGTATTGGATCACACGTCGGACACTTCCCAAGTATTGGCAAATAATGCGTGCAGATCCCAGTAAGGTGGCCTTTTGCAGCAAGCAGATGGTAATTTTGTCAGCGCCAATTGTGTTTAAGTGCAGGCCAAGGTCTTTAGGCACTGCACCCAGTGTGCCGATCACCACTGGGACCACCTTTACTGGTATTATTATTATTATTATTATTATTATTATTATTTATATACCTCTGTCTATATATTGCTTGTCCTGTCAATTGTATAATGGCATTGAATGTTTGCCTATACGTGTTCTGTATAAAGTTTGTACACTGAGTCCCCTGCAGGGTGAGAAGGGCGGGATGGAATAAATAAAAGTAAACATAGTTGCTGTTAGGTACGCAATCTGCAACCACATATATAATCTCATTTGTATTATTACATCCACACCAACTGAAAATGGGCACTGATGTGGAAGTAACCCAAGCTGTATAGACTGTTCACATGGTAACAGCTTCACTCTACCCATTTTATGATCTAGGCTTTTAAAATCTTTCCCCCCAGAATATGAACTGGAAAGACTTTGCTCACTTCATGGAGTCGGAGATTAGCTTGCAAAGTACTAGGGCTAAAAACATCGAATTGCAGTTCTGCTGAACTTACCACAGAGGAGAATGGAACAAAGGGTGAAAAAGCCATTACTTTAAATCAGCCAGAGCAGGCTAAAGCTTGTTTGCCCGAACATCTCCAAGGAAGCAAGCAATACATAAAAGCATACAGAAGTACAGCACTTAAGGGCTGGCACATAGATCAAATGTCTTAATTTTCAATGTCTCACTCCTAAAACCATTTTAAAAATATTATATCTACACTGCTACAGTTATGAACCAATAATAGGACAAACTAGCACCAGCAACAGAAATATATATTATATAAGAATCTGACGGAATAGTGTGATTGTAATAAGTGTTGGACTAGGACTCTGGGAGACCAATGCTCAAATTCCCACTCAACCACGGAAGCCCACACAATCCAAATTATCAAAGCAGATAATCCACATTATCTGCTTTGAACTGGATTAAATGAGTCTACACTGCCATATAATCCAGTTCAAAGCAGATAATCTGAATTATATATGGCAGTATAGAAGAAATCTGAGTGATTTTAGGCAAGTCATACTTTCTCCGCCTGAAAAGGCAATATAAACTGAGCAACTCTTTCCAAGAAAGTCCTATGATGGGCCTGACCTAAATCCACGTTGACTTGAAGAAATATAACAGCAACAAGGATCATACAGACTTATCAAGGCATATTTCTCACACTGCTCTCCTGGTTTTAGTGTTCTGTGCAAACCACAAACTACTTCTTGTATAAACTCATGTATAAGTCCAGAAACTTAAGTCAAAATTTGACCCAAAATATCTGGGTCAATTATCCATAGGTCAATGGAAGCACTGCATCTTAACTCTGATTTTTTTTTAAGAAACTAACCTTTTTTTCTGAGTAGAGTGATGAAGGCAAGAGCTTGGTCCTAAAAGCACCCACATCCCCTAATCTCTTTGCCTTCCAGCCTTTTTGAACGTCTGGAAGAAAAATGGCAGTGGTTCTTTGGCACTTCCCGACAATGGAGAACTGAAAGAATAGAGAGGGACGCTGCTTATCCTACGATCTCTTAAGCTTTTGTCTTTCATCACTCTGCTCAGAGAAGAGGATGGTTCCTTTTTTTGTTAATAGTTAATCCTGTTCATTAACTTTTTTCAGAAATGTTAATACTTCTTTTTCCGAGCAAAGTAGCAAAAGCCTTTTTTGAATGCCAGGTTGGGAAGACAGCAGTGGCAGTTTCCAAGGGCAGCTGGCCCTGAGATGAGGGAACTGGGCTCCCTCTTCTCCATGAAATTATATTTGAAGTATCCATAAGTTATATTAAAATCTGTAATGTTCATATCAAAATGTACACTCGACTTATACATTAAGGTGACTTATATACACATACATACAGTAACAGTTTCTCTGTTTAAGCCAGCTTGATGTCATTGAACGTAGTAAGAACAATCTTTCTTAAGTGGTTTGTAGACAGAAGCCAAATGTTCTTTCTGTTCATTCAGAAAAATCTCTTTCCATTCTTGCACGTCTTGAACATAGCTGCTTACACTAAGTGCAAATAATGTTACAGGATTGCCAAGTTAGACCAACAGTGCATTGTCATACCTTAACTGTATCTTAAAGTCACCTCTCAAGTAAAACCCAAAGTCAATATGGATTTGCTACAGGACTTGTCAAAACAGAGTATCTAACATCCTGGCAAGGTGCAAGCCAGGTGAAAAAGTTCAAATGGATGTGATGTGTTGTGAGACGTTTTGTTGCCAAATTTGGTGTGATTTCGTTCATTGGTTCTTTTGTTTTTAAGGTATTCATTATGCACAGAGCATTTTTAGATAGATAGATAGATAGATAGATGGATGGATGGATGGATGGATGGATGGATGGATGGATGGATGGATGGATGGATAGATAGATAGATAGATAGATAGATAGAAAACTGAGATGGATGGATGTTCAAAAACTTGTTACATATCACTTTGGGAGCCTTGGTGCTATAGACAAATTAAGGCAAACGATTTCATTTAGTAAATACTGGGGATCATAGTCAGTATCCTATACTTCTTATCTGCCTTTGAGACCTGATCTACACTACCATATAAAAAATAGATTATCTTCTTTGAACTGGATTATATGGCAGTGAAGATCGGGCCTGAGAGGCATCTGATTAGTGATAGGTAGGAAAAGGTAGAAAGAGAATATTGAAGTAGAAAGAATTTTGCTTTGATCTAGCAGAACTCTCTCAGGAAAAATTCTAATACAGTGGAACTTAGATTTGAATCTGTGGTTACAAAATCTACAGAGAAGAAGAAGAACTTTATTTTTCTACCCCGGCTCCATCTCCCCGAAGTGACTTGGGGCAGCTTACATGGGGCCAAACCCAAGGCAACATACAATTAAAAAACAGAACAGTAACATATTAAAATAGCATTAAAAACAGCATAAACAAAAATAAACAAGCATCAAAAGCAACAACAGACTCATTTTTGGAGGGGAGGGAGGGGGCCAATATGCAAAACTAGTTAAAGGATAGGGTGATCAATAAGGTGGACAGAAACGTATAGTGGCAAAGGAATACTAGCATAGAAATAGAGCAATTAAACAGGATCAGTTCAACTTAACTTAAAAATGTAGTAATGAAATATAGGAATTTGGTTTCAGGTCATGATTCAGATCATCTGTCACAGGAGTCATCAATCGAATGCACAACGAAACATCCACATCTTTAGTTCCTTATGTAATGTGGATAGGGAGGGTGCTAGCCTAATCTCCCTGGAGAGGGAGTTCCAGAGATGAGGGGCCACCACGGAGAATGCCCTTTCTCTCGTCCCCACCAGCCGTACCTGAGACGGGGGCGGGAGTGAGAGAACAGCATCTCCGGAAGATCTTAAGAACCGTGTGGAGGGGAGGATGCAGTCATGAAGATAGGCAGGCCCTGAACCAGATTATACACAATTGTATTGTGATTGTGTGCAGATCCATTTTAGCCATTTTCTTCAGTCAATCTGGCTTCTTTGGCTTGGTTGGATGGCCGTAACGGCAAGGGCCCAGCCGTCATGGTTTCCTGTCCATAACAAGACCACATGGCAGCCAATTACAGTTCCTCCCCTATTCAGGCTCTTACGCAAGCTGTGTTTGTTTCCTTAACACCATTGCTTTCCCAGGAATGGAAAGGGAAGCCTCCTAAATTCCCCATTGCCTCCAATGGACCGGATCTAGCCATATTTTTCAGCTGCAGACCAAAAACGATGATCTGGCTGCCTGCCCGTGAAAACGAAAATGGATATGGGGGTCTACTGGAATCCAGCCAGCAGAAATGGATTGAGGTTCAGTCAAAATGCACAAGCCTAGTATACACTACAGGTAATACTGTCTTACTACTGAGTTCTTCCTTAAAGTCTTCTGCATATGACAGAGGATAGGATGGAAGGA